TAGAAATGAATGCAGAAAACAGGGGATAAACATGAATCATAGCTGAGGCAAAGAGAATGAAAGAAAGAAAAAACAGAATTGTGTTACCAGTGCTCTCTGATTTGGAGTAGGCTGTAAATTACTTGTCTGTTGCTTGTAAAACCCATAATAGAATATAGACATACACGTCAACTTTCAAGTAACTTGTACTCAAGAAAAGAGGGTCTTAACTTTAGAGTGGTGCCTTCTGTTCTGGCTGTCGAATGACTTACATATTTTCAGAGAGAACTGATCCATCTTCCCACAACCAGACCTTATCAGAATTCTGGCGGGATAATCCAATCCAGCGAATGAAAACAGTCCTGTCTTTGATGTAATCCTATTGCAAACATAAGTAAATTTAATGGTGAGAATGCCATCTCAGCTTTTGGCAATAACAAAGATAATGACTTAGTAAGATACTGCACAAATATTGGATTATAGTCTATATTAATATTAATGAGTTATACTTGACATTTAGGACTATATCAATTTGAATTGTTTTAGAATAAAAATACCTTTCCTGATTTATTTTTATGCTTAGAAACTATTACTATTATCCTATACACTAAATGTATTTGTTTTGTTCATTTCCCTATTGTTTCATCTACAATATAGGCCTCTGGGGGTTAGGGATTATTGTTTTATCAAATATATTTGTCCATCTCCTGGAAACACATAATGTTAAATTAATAAATAGGTGATCAATTAATTCATGGGTGACCAGAAAGAAGCCCAATGTTCACATACTTTTATGCCTTCCAATATGACTACTAAGAATCCATTCTTAGACAATAAAAAAATGTATTGAGCTTCTTCACAGACGTAAGAGGCTCAGAATGACAATATACAGGAAATGATAGGTGAAAGTCACTGTGTATTTCTTAAAGTCTGAACCATCTACCCCTTTACTGCTAATGCTTCAGGCTTCCTTTAAAATACATCCACATTATATAAATTTACTATAGGACATAACAGATAAATGCCACCAGAAATTTCAGTTCTTTATTTCTCAGAAAATATATTACCTCTTCTCTTAATTATAAATCTTGAACTTGCCATGAACCTAGAATAATAAAATTCAGGCTATTTTCCATTTCCAGTTAACCTCTTTATAATGGAGTTGAGAATTGACGGCATTTTCCCATTCCGCCTATTTTATTTAACTAAGCGTCTTCGCTAAGAGTATGGGCTTCCCGGAGGAGCAAGCAGTGGAGGCAGCAGGCCAGGATCCCAGGGAGGCTTAATGCAGCGACGCACACCTCCGGCTGACTCCTGTCTGACTCGCTGTGCGCTCCAGCTCCCAGGAAGGTACAAGCCAATTTTATTGATTAGCTATGGCAAGTCTGTTCGATAACCTGGATGCAATATTTTAGTTCTCTGTATTTTTACTGAGGTTGATGAGTTTCTTAGATTAGCACAAACTAGAAGACTTCAGGAAAAAAAATGTAAACATCATCAAATGTTACATTTAAGATTTTTCTCTTTATTCCTCCAGAATATTTGACGCGAGACGCTCCTCACCAGAGTGTTCTTGCTGGTAGTCTTCACAAGAGTTGCATTCTGGTTAAAGCAAAACCGCTTACTCTCTTCCCAGGTCAAGTTTTTCCGGAAGAATCCATAGCAACTATCTCCGTGATATCTCCAGTTTGGGTCACAGGGGCTACATTTGTGATCTGAAGGGGGAACCAAGCATAGGGATCTCTTCCTCCTCAAGGGGGCTCACATTTCCAACCCCCGCCCCCGCGTTTCCTGCCAATCTCCCTTTAACCTGGATCACAGAAATGCTCCAGGAGCTGGGCAGAGGAGGAGGTTACCAAACCACACCTACCGGCACTGCGCTTTTGGTTTTCTTCTAATTGTTGTATTATATGTTGGCAAAAATTCTTCGCCAGTTTTTGCACAGTTCCTGAGAGATTTTCATTCTCAGCCTGTAGGTTATTTTGCTGTGTGATAGCTAGATGTGGAAATTAGATAAATTACAATTTGTCATCCAGATCAGAAAGGTGGTGAGAGGACTTTTCAGTGAATTTTCACTCCAATAGAATGGCTAGTATATAAAGTTTACTAGAGACACATGTGTGAATGCATACTGGGAATGAACAAGGATAAAGGGCACCATGGTGAATATAATAAGAAATTGCAAAACATTTCAATGATTTCCAAAAGAATGAGTACATTCTTTAAAGGAAGTGATCATAAATATGAAAAGTTCAAGATCAAATAACACTCCCAAAGCAGCTGTTTTATCATTTCCTTAAACACAGGCTGTAAGCAGACTTTATAGAGGTGAGTGAGTGACCTCAATTATTTTCTGTGTTTTATGTAATACCAAAATATTCACTTAAGAGAGCATATTGACTTTTCATCATGTTTAAAATGCTGTGATAGTTACAGAAATAAACCAGAATGAATTAAAACTTCCAAACTTACCTATAGAAATAAACATACAACAAGCAGTAATATACAAATTACAATGCAACATTCTAAGGCTTAGCTTTACAGGAAGTGAAACACTATTTCAATAAACAAAACGGGAAGGAGGATATTTTAAGTAAAGGGAATAAACAGATCAAGCAGAATTCAAACATGGAGATATAAGATTTATTCATGAAATTGAGAAAATTTTGGGTTGACTGAGTTTCAGAGTAAGCAAGATAGCAGGAAAGTGAAAAATGTAAAAAAAAAACAGTTTCAATCTATGCCAAGAAGAAATTTAAAGGCCAGTGATAAATTATGAGAATAATTGTAATTAATGAAACAATTTTAAGTGATTTTTAATCAGAGGAAAAGTTTAGTTTTCTTTTGCTGAGACCATATTGGCAGCTATAATGATTAAAATACTGGCAAATAAAAAAGTAAAAGAAGGCTACCAGGATATACCAGAAGGTTACCAGGACCCTTAGGTAGCACCTTCTCAAGATCAAATATTTGGCAAAGCATCAAATACTTACACATAAACCCCAGGGCCACCAGTGCAACAACCATCCCCATAGACAAGATCAGCAGAATTAAAGCCATCACACGCCACCAAGAAGAGGAAGCAGGGTCAGCTGCAGGCATATAATAAAGATATAAGGAGCGGACAGTGGCGCCATCTCTACCTGTCTTCTCAGAATCTTTCAAGTGTCATGAGCAACATTATTGGCATCCCTTGCCTGTGTTTTCTTGTTAATCATCAATAAAAACACCTCTTCCCTCTCTCCACACCCAGGCGATTTTCCCTTTCTTAGCCAAACTATAGGCCTTATATTTTAAGGTCTTGTGTTTCTGTCTTTTTGTGTGTAGGTCCACCCACATAAATAATTGCTTTAGCAAGCAACAACTGGAAAGCCATATCCCTTTACTGACATTTAGAAAATGAAGTTTTCAAACATCCCCTCCCCTTATTCTCTTGGCCTCTATATCTTCATCATTAAATTCTAGGAGTCATAATATAATACCCTCTGCTTGTATCTTTGCTATTTATATTCTAAATATGTCCTTTTGAACCTATATAAACACTATTCAAATGCTTCAGAGAAAATAAGAAAAATAAGTAAGTAGCATACTATCACTAGTAGAGAAAAAGAAAACAGGATTGGCCCATTACACTAATTAATTTCCAAATTTCTGGTGCTGGACATTCTTACCTGAGGAGACAGCTGGTTTCTGAGGTTTAATATTTAGGGTGATGTATCCATCTTCATCCTGCATGGCTTCCCTTGGACAGCAAGTGAGCTCAGGATTCAATGATTTTGCGAAGTACAGTGTCTACACTTAAAATTTCAGTGTCGGCCGGTGTCTGTGATCCTCCTCTCTCTGGTAGAGTAAAACCATGTGAGTGAGGACACACATTCTTTTTGTTTGTTTTTTGTTTTCCAGGAAGCCCTTTCATGGCTGTTCAGAGATACATAACCCTTGAACACAAAAATGCAACAATAATAATAACTTGTGGTAAAGGAGTAGATAGGGTATTTGTTTCCTGTTTCCTTTTCTTCAACTCTGAATGAAGGGCTATGCCATCATGTGCATCCTTTCAAGGCACAAAAGTTCACGCTTCATCTTAACCCTAGGAAAGCTTAAGGGGTATTGCTTAACTTCTTTGCTTCTTTTCTCTTCTCATTGTGATTCAGTGTTGTTCTTTGAATCTTTGATAACTCCACAGGTTACATGGTCTTATGTAAACAGATGTCCACTGCAGCCCTCTCCGCATGACTTATTTCTGTTAGAAATATGCAGCATGAGTATAAAGAATTATAGGGTCGAAAAAGCCTTTGATAACATTTACTCTTAATTTTGCTTTCCATTTCTTCATGTGTTATAAATATAAACTGAGTTATCCAGCAAAAGTAACTGGAGAAGTACAAGAAGAGATATGATATTAAAAAATTTTCTGCCTTTTACAAAATTCATTGTCTTTGTTAACTGTCTTTTAACAATCCTACATGACTCTTGTTAATATGCCTTATTTCTACTTGAAAATTTATCTTCTCTCTCTTTTTCTTCATTTAGTAAACTGTGTCTTTAAAAAAAATCCATTTCAAATTTCCTGATGAAACTGAATGTGGAATAAAAACTATTATCAAGAGAATAGTTTACACATCGAAAGTTACTTTTACGTGAAATACCTTTTTTATTTTACTTTTTTTTTGTCTTTTTGAGACAAGGTCTCGCTATGCAGTTCAGGCTGATCTTGAGCTCATTTTGTAGCCCAGGCTGGTCTCAAACTTGCAACAATCCTCCTGCCTCAGCCTTCTGAGTGCTGGGGTTACAGGTGTGGGTCACCATGCCTGGAGTCTTTTTTATTTAAAAGCAAATATTTAACATTGTGTTTCAGATACTGATACTTATTATTCATGAGAAAAGTCATATACCGGGCTGGATAAAGTCACGGAGCACAGTCTAGAACATTAACTACCTAAAGTTTCTTTTCTAGCATTTAGGAGATCTCCTACCCTACTGCAAACCAGCTGACGTTCTTTCCCTTCTCCCTTACTTCACTCTTTTTCCATAGCACAACACAGTCAGATAAACATAATCATCGTATATCTTTTAATTTTCTTTTTGTTTAGTTGCTGGGAATCAAACTGCACACCTGTGCTTGCTAGGTAAGCACAGGCCACACCTGGGTACATCTACCCAGTAGCCAAATAAGTTTTGCTACATTACAATGGCTTTCAAATTTAGATACTGTCCAGACTTGCTGTCTTTGCTTCTGGTTCAAAAATGATTAAAAAGACACTGGGATCACAAGGACAATGTAGAGATATAATTAAGAAGAAAGGAAATTAGTTGAATGCGTAACACTGTAAGATTGATTGATGTACAATGATAGTGGGTGTGGAAAACAGACAAGAAAAGATATTGACTGTGGTGGATATTAGTACAACATCTCTCAACTAAAAAAAAATAAGTGAGAGTTTTGTACTTGGTAATCTCTTTTCATGAATTTTTTCATGTTCACTATTTTTAAATTAAGCCATAGATCCTTTCAGCAGTAATATCCTGGTCCCTCTCTGTCAGCCGCATTTGAGCTGTTGGTTCACCTTTGACTTACCAGCTTGGTACACACACAAACAAACTCATTGTTTTAGGAAAATGGTAGGATTGTCTGTCATGGGAAAAAAGTATAATTAATATTTTCTCTTGCATTTTCAGAAATCTTAAACATGTGGATTAAAACTGGAATGAGGTTTATTAAAAGTTGTTGCACTGGACAATAACTATCAGACAACTACAGTGGGACAGTCACACACAGAGTAGAGAAGGCTAAGGCAAAGCCTGTAAGACAGCATCCTTACCACTAAGGTTACCAGGCATGTGCACAGAAAACAGTGTAAGTAAAAAGCCAATAACAATCAAGTGGGATTTGGAACATTCAAAGGAAAATACAATTTGCATAAGCATAAAAAGGATAAGGGAATGTTCCTCAAATATGGGAGTTTGAGTAAGTATGACGTGTTGTGGAAAAGCCAGTTGACCCAGGATATTTGAGCTGAGGATTTGTGTGAAGAGTACTGAGATATGGGCTGAGGATTTAGCTCAGCGGCAAAGCGCCTGCCTGGCAAGTGCAAGGTCGTGAGTTCGGTTCCCGGTACCAGAGAAAAACAACAACAAAAAAAAGAGTACTGAGATATATGCAGTGTTGTACTTTTCTATTAAAATTACTGTACAGTATCTACAAGGTAGGGATTATTAACTCATTAGTCCTTCAAACATATACTTATTCACTACTGTAGCTGACCCAGGTACTCTCCTATGTTCTTGAAATTAAGTGATAAATGAAAGGGATGAGTTGTGCTCTTAGTGGGGGGTGGTGAGCACAGGTGATAACAAAGAAAAGAGAGCAGAGAGCGAGATAGCATCACATCAGTCAGTGCTGCATCCTGAGACATTCGTGTTTGACTATTCAGGCTGGGGACAGACCCTGGATGTGCTCCTTGGGGTTTGTTCAAGCAGCATTGTAAGGACTTAGCCAATTGCAAGAGTTTCTTGCATTTTAAAGATCATCTAGAATAATTCAAACTCACTTTAGCTTTTCTTTTAAAAAGTGATAGCTGCCCCTATGCTTTTACCTTTGCGGTAGATACTATACTTATGCAAATTTTACTAATAAGAGAAACACAACATACAAATGAGATAAATTGTCAAAGGTCCTAGAGGATATAATTATTAGATCAGGATTTGAATCAATCAATATGTCTTGATAGCCCTTTATTTAAACCAAGATATCTTCTTATCCCTACCGTGTGAATACACATTTCCAAATGAATTCCATTCTCTGTCTCCTCCTTGTGGCCATGTTTTTCTCTGCTTCTCATTTTTTCTCTCTTTTCTTTCTTTGGGCTAGGACATCTCAAGCTTTCACTTTTCTCTATTCCATTTCTCATGAATAATTGGGAATTAATTCCCATTCTGATCATCCTCTGAGCCTAACCTTTAGGGCGCTCTTCATAGCTGTTCTCTGAAGTAGGGATAATGTGTGAGAAGGGAATGACTGCTGAAGAATAGATTTGAGAATATAACTTCCTATCATATGTACACAGCATTTCCTTTAGTACAGTATAAATCAAAAATATTTCCACATTTGACAGCTACGTCCTGTTATTCTCTACAGTGAGTAGTGTTTTCTGATAGATATAATTCACATGAGAGCAAGAGGAGAAGTCAGAGGGTTGACTCCAAGTTTTTGGCTAAGGCATTCTAACCAAGGAACTCGCATTTACTGAGATGGGAAAACTTTGGGAAGGGTCTCTCATTTTTTGATGGAAGTTTGAAATCTAAATAACTACATCAGGAATCCAGCCAGCTGAGTGGTCTTGCAAGCAAGGACTTGGGGAATATGAATTTAGACACTGTAAATGCATGGCTGTTCCATCAAGACATGAATCCAGATGAGCTCATCCAGTGATGTGAATAACCCATAAAAGAGGGTGAGGAACCAACCTCCAGGACACACTACTTTGAAATCAGTGAAGGAGGAGTCAATGGACCCGATGGAGGATTGGGAATTGGTGAAGTAAAAGGGAAACCAAGAGAATGGTGTCCTGGAGACCAAAGTATTTGGAAGAACACAGTGTTTTAAGAAAAGGGAATAATCAGTTATGTCCAAAGCTGCGTAAAGGGTGAGAAGAGGAATCTAAGAAATATCCACTGGATGTGTTGATATGAATGTTAATACTGACTTACACGAGAACACTTTTTGTAGAAATATTGAGGAGAAAAAACTGTTTAGGATGGGTTTGGGAAAAGTAGGAGGAGAAAGGAGAAATAAACAGCTTTTCAAACCCTTTTGCTGCTAAGAATATTCAAAAAATGGGGTCACAATAGGTGGGTGCACAAGAGATATTTCACGCTTGTTTTTGAGATGGGGAATATTGTATCATATTTGTAGGCTAAGGTGAGTGAATGGGTAGAAGTTTTAAAAAGGGAAATTGTTTATATTAGAGAAAGAAAAACGGAGAAAATTTTAAGTTCAACATCTTTAAGCAGATAAAAAGGGTGGATTTTAAAATACAGGTGGAGATTAATCATAGATAAAAGGTGCCAGTAAAATTAGTCATTATTGAGAGGGATACCATGTACCTTACAGATGCAGATATTTATACATTTAGTTGGCAGAACAAAGGAAAGTCTCCTCAGATTGTATTTATTTTCTCAAGATAATTGAAAAGCATATCATGACTTGAATTTGGGGAAAGGGAAATGCAATTCAAGAACAGCTAATAATTTTTAGGACTTTAGGAGGAAATACTGATTAGTAAGACTGTTTAGAAGTTATGGTGCAAAAACATAAAGTAAGACCAGTTAATATAGCCATTCAGCCACTCAGAAGAGCTGTGGTGCAGATAGAGTTGTACTGAACCAGGTTGCATTTTCCAAATGCTTACGATGAGTGAAGAGATAAGCAAGAAAATTATTGCAGCACATAAAAAAATGGCTATTATAATTGACCCTGATAATTGGCCTAAACCAGGTTAAATAGGGAACTAGACACTAGGGACTGATAAACAAAAATGTGGCATTGTCAATGAGTCTGACAACTAGTGGGCACCAAAACCTGTAGCCCATAGAATTATTAGGAGTAAACCAAGACAGGAGTTGGAGTTCAGAGAGTAGAATACCTGAAACTGAGACCATGGAAAAGGTATTCATATTGGAAATGAAAATTTCTAGACTCATGCGTTTCTGTCCAGTAGAAACTTCTGCAATAATGTAAATGTTATATATCTATACAGTCCAAAACAATAGCCACATTTGGTGACAGATCACTTGAAGCATGACTAGTGTGGCCTAAAAACTGAATTCTTAACTATATTTACTTTCAATAAATTTATATAGTTCTATGTACCTAATTGCTATAACATTAGACATTGTTGATCTACAGAATAATCATTTAGTGGGTGGCTTATTTGTGGTTGGGGATGAGGTTATTGGAGATAAGAACTGAGAATCTAGAATGTTGAATTACTATCTGTGGGGACAATACTGATCATTACAAGAATAGTAGAGGTGAACAGATTTAAGACAGTTGAACAAAAAATGAAGAAAATGGTCCTAGTACTGTATTTGGTAGATGATTTTACCAGGTAGGTTTTTTGAGGGTGTAACAAATAAAATGAGTTACACAGAGATGCTGGAAGTTTGTAAAAGAGAAAATCATAGATCTTAAGTAATGAAATAATAAATTATAATATGTCACATAGTCATTTAGGATAATAAAATTATAAAGTATATAAGAGATATGATGTACTTCTGCCCTTTATAAACAATCAGAATCTAGTAAGATATTTTATATTTTATGGAATAAAGGTAAAACAAAATTTCATAACAAATTAATAGGAGAATAATAATATATTGTATATTGTTTTCTTTAAAGTAGCTGCTCAGAGTACAAGGTGTGGGCATAAAAATTTCTCCAATTGATATTATCACAAGCACTCTTTTTCAATGAATCAAGAGACACTAATTACATAATTGACTTGCATTTTTTTCTTTTCCCTTCCAAGTTTTCCCCTTTTCTCCATCTTTGTTCCTTTTTCCTTTTAAACAATTTTTCTCTATTTCACCCTAACTATTGTACATTTTAGACCTTATTTATTCTTTCAGGTTCTCACACCAGGGAGACAATATGATGTTTACACATGTGATGCTGACTTATCTCACTTATGAAATAAGTGCTTTGCTTCCTTCTAGTCCAAAGTCTTTTGTTCTTACCATCCTTCCTTCATAACTAGTCAGCATTGTTGAACTCTTCTCTGTTGTCACATAACTCTCTGATTATCTAAGAAATTGCCAATGTTATGAGTATGGTCTCAAGTTGCATCCATTTACCTATGAAAGTCTCGTTTATCCTTCTTTATGGCTGAGTAGTACTCCATTGTATAAAAATACCACATCTTTTTTTATTCATTTCTCAGTTGATGAGCATGTTGGGTTGTTTTTAAGATTTAGTTATGACAAATTGTGCTGCTATAAACATGGGTGCACATATATTGCTGTGGTATGTTTTTAATTTTTCTGGGAAGATACCTAGAAGGGGAATAGCTGAGTCAAATGGCATCTCTAATCCTAGTTTTTTGAGGTATCACCACACTGATTTCCACAAT